TTTAAGCCTGCCTTTGTTCCTGTAGAATCCTTTGTTTGTGTAGAAGCCTTTGTTCTTGGACTATGACTCATCGCCATTGTTCCTCCAACATCAGCTACTGCTGTTTGACCTTGTTGTGAATTAAATAAATCTTGCCTTTGTTTAATTGCACCGGTTCCTCCTTTTTTTGGAGGCATAATTAAGAGATCACCTGACGTAAAAACACCTGGAGATACTAACCTTAATTAATAATTCCAAAAATAATTTGAATATTGGGTGTAAAATCAATTAATAAATAAAAAATATAATCGACGAGTTTAACAAAGAAAATGTTCGTAACCGACAAGATAGAATGCGACCTATCTCGACCGTGAAAAATAACGAATGGACAGTCCTATTGAAACTTGTATGCTCGCTATTGATATATAAATACTAATCTTATATTGGTTTAAAGTTAGGAAGATCACTCTTGGCTAAGATTTCTGCTTTACAATGGATAGTAGTTCGATAATATCATTATATCAGAAAGTCTTTTAATTGAAAATGGGCTATGAATTTGTTCATTTTAAAGAATGCATACAACCCATCCTCTGTCGTCCTGTCCTCATAGACATTATCTGCTCATTCTGACAATCACCATTTGTTTCATAATACTGAGCATGATGACTGCAAATGATGAGAGCGTTCTGAAAAATACTTGTTATAACGTTCAAATTTGATTCAAGAACAGTGAAAAAGAGTCTAATTGTGTGACTATGAAATTTGAAATGATAGTAACTGCTTTGATCAAAATTTCGCACAAAAAAAACTCACAACACTGTTTCAATGATATGTATGTAGTTTTTCATAGTTGAGCTTTTCGTTCTTATATCTTTCCTATTCATTTATAACAAGCTCTAAAGCATTGCAAATATAATTTTTTTTTTTGAGTTTAGTTGTTCGACGATAAAAAATCCGTTTCATCATTAGCTGAGCTAAGGAAAGACAAAAATTTGATTGAATAAAGTCAATTATCAAACAGGTATGTGATTAGCTTTGATATTTTCTGATCAATCACAGAAAAACTATTCTCTATATTAAGATAATTGATTCACAGTTAAAAGAATAAATCAAATATCTTTACTGTTTTGAAAATAAATGTTCATATTGTTACGAGACTTTTGTATCTACTTACAGAAAGAATTAGAAAAAAAGTTCTCAGTTAACATTATTGATCTAGAAGAAAAAGCAAAGAAAACTATGATCTTATTGGAAAAATATGCTGATGATAATCTCTTACCTGTAAATGTTCAAAAGACCAAAGCGTTATTAGTTCATAGTATTATTTCTCCAAATTTACCTGAAATCAAATATAAAAATCAAACAATAGATTTCGTTTCTTCATTTAAATATCTAGGAGTAACAATCACCACAAAAATGGGATGGGGAAAATGCGTTGATGACAAACTTAAAAGGATTAGAAAAACATATAATGCAATGAAAATATTATTTTATAAAATAC